GTTTGAACTGCAGGAGATTGTCTTGACCATGTCTACATGCCTAAATGCACTGAGTTGCCGCCATGTAATTGGCTGATTAGAAATTAAGTGTTAACGAGCAGTTGGACAGGTGTACCTAATAAAGTGGCCGGTGAGTGTATATATACACACACACACACACATAACAATACGCATGCATAAATCTCATTCATCTTGTTTGAAAAGGGGTAGGAAGAAGTAAAACGTATTAATGAGTGTATATAATCTTTCTGATGTACAGAAAACTGTCAGAAAGCCATGTGTTATGAATGTACCAACAGAAGAGAAACAGGAAGTGTCTCAATTCACAAGCAGATTTAATCTTAATAAATATACAATTTACAATATACTTTATTACTAGTCACAATTTTTCAACTAGCTAAAAAGTCTAATTTATTGACTTCAGGTCTGATTTAGATCATTGTTACTTATATATTTTTTCATGTGTATCTGCTGTTTTACATGATTATTGAATAAAATTAACAGAATTAGCAATTATCTTGATTTATTGTAAAATTATTACAGATAATTAGTGACATCTAGCTGGGCTTGCTGTTACCGGTAATCAAATAGTTGCTTTGACGGTTGTGAGATGTTGCCCTGTTTGGTCGCCATTTTTGCTCCTCCATGTTGTCACAGATGCTAACAGTGGAAGGGATATATGGGTCTCACTCTAGTGTTATTTAACTTCATGGAAATGACTGAAAAGAAGTCATTTTGGTCAAATCATAAAAATAACATTGTGCAACCTGTTAATGCTTCAATGATGTGAATGACTCAGCTAATGTGTCAAATTTTAGCTCAATATCTGTAAAACTGACTGAATTATAGACATTTTAAGGTTGCTTAGATGTGGCAGCCATCTTGTAAAATTAATATTACATGTTAATCAGATGAAGATTTATATTTATTGTATGTTCTAAGAGTTTTATTTAAAATTTGTCATGTAGTTCGTGACATCTTTAGGTAACACAAAAATCGTTATTGTGCTTTTAACGACAGTCAATAAATAAACTTCAGAGTTTTTATTTGTGGCTAATTTCACATAAGTTGCATTACGTTATTTTATCAGCCTTTCTACAACATTATTATGAAAAAGACAAGTTCTATTACTTTTTCTTTTTAGATTCAATCAAAATCTTTTTTTGTTTTTGTTTTGTTTTCAGGCTGCACGTCAGTACTGCCCTCACCATGTAGGCCATTACCTGGGCATGGATGTCCACGACACTCCTGAACTATCCCGCTCACAGCCTTTCCAACCAGGAATGGTCATCACAATAGAACCAGGTTTGTTTTTTAGATATAAATATCTGTTCTTTCTCAACCAAAGCTGATGCTGTTCCTTTGACTCATGTTTTCTTATGGGTTTTTTTTCGTCTCAGGGATATACATCAGTGAGGACAACGAGCAGGCTCCAGAGCAGTTCCGTGGTCTGAGTGTCAGAATCGAGGATGACGTTGTGATTCAAGACAAGGGAGGACCTCTGATTCTGTCCTCTGGTGCACCAAAGACCATCGCTGATGTAGAGAAGGCTTGTGCCATGAGATAGGACACAGAAAAAAATAGGTCAGATTATGGCTGCTCTACTTTTCAAATGTTTAATTTAAAAATCAGGATTTTGGTAAGTCTAACTCTTGGTTGCACAGATTTTATAATCTGATGTTAACAATCATAAACTTTGCAGACAAGTGTAGTATCTTCCCACTGGTCAACACACTAAATGTACAAGAAAGGAAGAACAATCTTGCACGTGTGTGCCTGCCGTTATGTTTTACGAGACCTCATGCACAGAACAGGAAATTCAGCTGAGTGTTGAGGGTTTTTGTTCCTTATTTAGCTACAAATCAGAGCAACATTTATGCAGCGATCCTTATTTTACACCAGGTTTAAAAAGCAGAAGTTTTAGTTTTCATCTAAAAATTGAATATTTCTTTTTTTAGGTGTTTATACCAAAAAAAGATACTTTTTTCTCGTCTTATGCTGAATCACAAAAGATTAAAAGACCAAGTGCAGAACATTAACTCACCTTACTTTAATTATGAGCCGGCCCGGGAGTATGACTGTATCAACACACGTTCATGTAGTATTAAATGAAGTGTGAAGCGTCCAGTTTATTAAATGGAAAAAGTTATTTTTACATCTGAAATGTGAAAAATGCACTGATGAATGTGACTCAGTTATGGTGTCTGTGTTCTTTGTGAACTTTTACAGAAAACTGTGTTTGTATGTATTAAAAAAACTAATTTTATTGCGTAACTAAAATAATCCTTTAGGTTTGTCCCATTACTTTTAACAGAACTGCAGGCAAGTGAGGTGGTGCAGCTGACTTGGGGTCTCTGCTCCCTGAGAGCCTACATAGCTGCTCATTCTCCACTTGGGTTTATCTTACATGTGACTGGTTCATTGCAAAGCACAAATTTTGTCATGTGGTAACACAATGATTTTTGCAACAGTGGCTTTCTCTTTGCCACTCTTCCATAAAGTTTAGTTGTAAAGAACCAGGGCAACCATCATCGTAGCTCACAGGTGTCTTGGTGGTCTCTCTCACTGTTCCTGTTCTTTCTGCAGTTACTAAGTTTCCGAGGATGACTTGTTCTTTGTAGATTTTCATTGTTTATATTCTGTTTCCTCAAGGATTTAACCGAACTGAACAAATCTGTTTCCTGCTCAGCCCCGACCTCTCAGGACTGCAGTTAGTTCAAAACCCTGCAGATTGTCTTTCAACACAAAAAAACAGCGTAAACACATCGAACCAGGTGATTTAAAATTGATTTAAATGTTTTATTGGTGACCTACAAGGCCCAGAATGGAGACTCTTGTACACCTGTCTGACGTCCTGCAGCCTCGTATGTCAGAATTCTGGAGAAAAAATGGTCAATGGACTGAACTTATGTAGTGCATTTTCAAGTCTCATAAAGACCACAAAGTGGTTAATTTTTTTTTTATTCATCACCCATTCCAGGTTTCCCGCGGGTCCTTAAAAAGTCTTAAAAGGCATTGAATTTATCAGTCCAAAAATAAGGCCTTAATTAGCTTTAAAAAGCCTTAAATCAATCTTACAGAGGTCTTAAAATGTAAGTAGGATGATTGTAATTCCTCTCAAATATTAAAAGAATTGGTAACATTTATTTATCTTTTTAAATAATTTATTGAATACTTGTTTTGTAAAAATATTGGCTAAAATTGTCACTGTTTTTTTTTCATTTGTGTTTATTGTGAGATTGCTCTTAAGTTTAATTTCAAGTGGCATTAAATAGGTCTTAAAAGGTCTTAAATTTAGCTTGCCTTAAACTGTAGGAACCCTGCGTTCACACACAAACACACACACTCACGTTTGTTTCTCAACCCCGTGGGGACCTTCCATTGACTTCCATTCATGTTTTTTAGACTTTATANRCTAACCCTGACCATATACTCTAAAATTAACCTCACAGAAACTTACCTGACCCTAAAACTYACCTAAACCTTGGTCCTAAACCTAACCCCACACCTTTAACATGCATTTGGACCCGTGGGGACCTGACAATGGTCCCCACGATTCACTTCGGTCCCCACCTGGCTGCTTTTTTTTTTGTAAAAAATACCCCACGTTGTAGGAAAAACCCGTAACACACACACACACACACACACACACGCTGATGGTCAACTACAGTGTAGCCACAGCTGCAAGTCAGATCTCCAAAATGAAAGCCAGAATTTAGAACAAAAGCCAGATTTCTGAGATTAGGCCAGAGTTCCAATTTTAATTTCTGAATTCTGAAGAAAAAAATTAATATTTTTTGTCAAAATTCTATGATTAAATTCAGAATTCTGACCTTAATCTCAGGTCAGAATTTGATAGACATTTTCTTTCCCCATTGCCCTAATCCTCATCCGTAGTCTTAGTTAAATATATTAGCCTTATTTATTTATCATTCATTTCCCATTTTACCAGATTTACTAATCCCACCCTCTCATCCTTTGTCAGAATTCAGAAATCAATTGTCAGATACATTTCCACTGAATTGCCTTCGGGACACACCGGACGGATTTCCGGACCCTCCCGAACACTCACGAAGACGAACCTCTCCTCTTGTTCCTTTTCCCTCCCTCCTCCTCCTCCTCCTCCTCACGCCTAATGTTACCGTACCTCTAACCCTCCTCCTCCCGTATCAGAGGAGTAGAAACAACAAGCCGCCATTTTGTTTGGCGGACAGACCGTCAGGAGCAGAAGATAACCGATAGAAGGAGCGACTCCGGCAGCCGACTGCAGCCGCACCGGGAGCCCGCGGGGGGACGTCAGAGTAACCGAATCCTGTCGGAGTTGTCCGGAAAGAGGAAGCATCAGACGAGACGTCCACCGGAGGGGAGAGCCAGTTCAGTGGCATATATATGTATTAATATATATATATTTATATATAAATATAACATGTATGCATAAGGAAACACTCCGAGAAAATAAACCCACGGAAGGGGGTGTTTTTTTTTTCTTTGCGGAGCGGCGACGGGGAGGAGAGGCGGAAGAAGAGAGCTTGGAGACATCACAACGAGGGAGAAACCTGCGGGGGAAAAAAGAGGAAAAAAACATGATAAGTCAGTATGTGTCCGTGGTGGAGGAAGGCTCGAGCCCGCAGAGACAATTATATAAATAAATTGCTGCCGGGCAGGAGGGAGAGGTGGAAAGAAAGAGGGGTTTAAACACGGAGGGGGGCAGTTCATCACAAAGAGTCACAGGGAGCATTTTTGTGTGTGAAGAACAAAAAATATATTTTATTGAGGGGGGGTTGCTGTGCCGAAAAAATAGCCATTTTTTTCTGTGGTTTCCTCACAAGCTGTTAAAAAGCGACAATTTTTTTAAAAGCAAGGAGGACACTCTGCAGGAGCACAAGATAAGTAACATGACTGATCTATAAAATAATTAGATCAATTTGTGCAATAAACCAAAAAAGTGCATGAAAACTGCACGAGAGCAGTGATCTAGTGAGAGGTTTTTTTTAAACTCTAATGTGCAAATATCAGTGCCTTTTGCATGTTTAAAACAATAACCCGGAATGCAAAAGAAAAATCCCGCATTAAGAGTCCTCAAGTTTGATTTTCATCAATATTGCCACATTTTGAAGCTTTAAAAACCACTAAACACAGGTGAGGAGCTCCTGTTGCATGAGACAAGGGTTCCCGAAGTTTAAAAACTGTTTTTTTTTTTCGTGCCACCACAACAACAACTCTTCTCAGTGTCTTAGAGCTGAAATCCAGGATTTATCAGGCGGACTGTGGACCGAGACAGAACCGTGTTCGGCTCGGCGGCGGACGGATCTCCGGACGGGTTTTTGTGTCGCAGAGGCTGCTACATGAGGCTGTCAGCGGGGCTCTTTTCACCGACTCCACCTTCCCACCTCCTCCTGTTCAAATCTGCGAAGAAGAAACGAAATCTCCGACAGGGGTGGTGGAGGAAGAGGAGGAGGGGGGGACTCCGCAAAGAGAGAGAGGTGCAAAAAAAAAAACACCGACGGGGAGCCGAAGAGTTGTAACGCCGCCGTCCTCTCCCCTACCGTCCCCCCGAGCGGTGGGGGAACGAGCAGAAACGCTTCCTGAACTGGAGTAGTAGGAGGCGGAAATAAAAGGAAATACGGCATTTTTTTACGTTTTTTTTTTTCTTCATTATTTGTCAAAAAAATATGGCCGATAATGTCCTGGAGTCCGGCCCGCCTTCAGCCAAGAGGCCCAAGCTGTCCTCTCCTGCTCTCTCATTGTCTGCCAGTGATGGAAATGGTAATTATATCGCATGCATTATTCCAGTACAAACTAGCTTTGGTAGCTTTTCACAGCTCACCTGGTCACTCTTAGAAGTTTGAGCTAAAAGTTGCTAAGTCATGTTAATGATGCTTTTAGGCGTGAATGCATTTAAAGGTGCTTAACTGAGACGTGTGATGTGTTTAAGTGGGGAAATGGGACGCGAATCTGAGGCCAGAGCAACTTTCCAGTAGTTTGTTTTGGTGCGTTAGCCTCCGCTGAAAAAAAAAGATCCACCTCCAAACAATGGACGAGTCGAGACTACCCCGTTGGCTTCAACTTGTTTCGCCACATTAAAAGTTGTTTAAGTCAAAGTCGGAGCGCTCGTGTTGAGTAAATGTGGGCGTTTTGCTGGTATTTGATGAACAAAGTGGCAAATAAGCGCCCCCCGAACGAGCTTTAGGAGAAAGTTGCTGTTACCGAGCGAGCTAGCTAACTAGCTAGAAAGACACCCCCACCGGTGTTGTGTCGAAAAATGCACCCCTTCCGTAAGAAGTGGGGTTGAAGCCAGTGAAAGTGAAAAGMGACATGCAAGAGCAAGGTTTTCAAAGGTTAATTAATATTTGCTGTTTATATCCATCGTTTACTAGTGTTTTTGTGTCCGAATAGTCCCCGCACACTTAAATAAATTTCTTATAAATGCTGCAAAAAAAGAGGCATTTTTGGATAGAAAATGTGATTTTTGTGTTAGTAGGCTAATTAGTTTCCTGATTAGAAATAGCACTTGTGCATAACATAGTTGCCCAGCTCTTCTAAAAACAACAATAATGATATCGTGCACGGATAATCAAGTGTCTGTGTCACTTGTGGTTTTTACGCTCGTTTTTCTTTTAAAACWCAGTGCTCAGAAATGTGTCTTCGGTGACGGGACTTTTCATGGCAGAGGGGCCTTTTTTCGACACAACACCGGAGCGGCTCAGCTGAGTTCCGTTAAGAAAATAGTGTAGGGTTGAACTTTTTTAATCACAGCGACGATTAAAGTGGGTACAAACCCTTTCCGTAACGGAAAATATGCGTTTCATGGCAAAACAAGCATTTATTACCCGAGCTCCACTCTTGTTTTCAGTCTAAGCTAGCTATTGTATTGTTCGACACTGATGATTAAGTTGGGCGAAGCGCTGCTGGAGTTTTAAAAAAATATGCGTCGATGGAAACAGTTTAATCACATTTCAACAAAACACAGCCATTCTAATTGCGTTAATTTGTTTCTCAAATCGACTTGTTTACATCTTTATTTTGTCGACTTGAACTAGCGGTGGTGTAACGAATCTCATTCTTATTTGTCGTTCATTGTCTGGCTGCTAAAAGCACGACGGTGAGCCCGAGCGTCACGTTTTAAACGTGTCCTTCAAAACACCTCAGATTCTCAACAAGAAGCTTTTAAATACGTCCATAAGTCTCAATAGTATGTGTAGAATGCTCATAAAATAAGGTTAGATGTGAAGATAGTGATGAAACGTTTTCAATTTCTATTAAATGAGAGTATTAATGAATTTCAGTATTTGTCCGACACTTTTCTTAACACCTGCCTTTCATAAATCACACTTTTTTTTGTTATTCCTACTGTTCTATCCTCTTTTATATAACTGCTTTATAAATTCACACACCTGCCTGGTGTTTACCTTCTGCGGCTTCTCACCTTGTCCACCCTGCATCAGCTGTGTGGAGCCCCTCCAAACCACAAACTGATGCCCAGGAGGGAAGTCCAGTTTGAGAGGCACTTAAAGCTGCACTGGTTTTCAGACTATGAGCTGTAGATGAAGGATTAAACAGTTACAGGTAAAATAAACTCCTGATCTTGTTGGTATAATATTTGTATTTTTTCCATTTCTTTATGTCTAGATTTTGGTTCACTCTTTGACCTGGAGCACGACCTCCCGGATGAGCTCATTAGTTCTTCGGACCATGGGCTGACCAATGGAGGGGATGCCAGCCAGTTCCACACTAGTCTTGGAGGGCTCGGAGGTGGGATTGGTGCAAGCGGCCAGYATGCAGCTGCAAAACACAAGCAGCTGTCCGAGCTCTTGCGTGCTGGAGCYCCGGCACACCCGGGGGCCCCTACGTCCAACAGCGCACCATCTGGGACTTCCATGGGACTGATGAGTGGCATTAGTGCACCTCAAGGCATGCATCCTCAGGGCCAGCAGCAGCAGCCTGGATTAATGCCTCAAGCTGGAATGATTGGAAGCGGGACGGCGCTCAGTCGGACAGCGGCCATGATGAGTGCTCAGAAAGGCCCTCCTGGACAGCAGCAGCAGCAAGGGCTGATGGGGGCGCAGGTTATGAATGGCTCCCCTAGAATGGGCTACTCTGGAAATGCTGGACTGGGAAACAGTAGCAATATTTTGGCAGAGACCTTAAAGCAACAACAGCAGGGRGGTCAACCTATGGGAGCCGGGGGACAAGTGGGGATGAGACCACAGCACCCTGGCGYGCTAAACCAGGTAGGCATCATCAGAACCAAACTTTACGTTTAAACTGGCATGAAACTGACATCTAGGTTGCAGCTGCTTCTCATAAAATGGACTGAACTTGGTTTTAAAGTGGTGTTCTTTGAAAAAGTTCAACAATAGCTTACTTGTTGTAGCTTCTTAAAGGGCTTCAGTTTGGGGCAAATGGAGTTTAAATCTGATTGAACCAAAGCTTTTGAATCCAGGTTTTAGTGAAGGTTTTTGGAAACKACCCACAGAGGCGTGAAATTGTGCGTGACCGCTACAGACGGCTGCAGTTCATAGTTCTTCTGCGCTTGTGCGCGTAGAGAAACATTAGCAACAATGGCAAATAGCAGAGTGCTGCTCACCTTTTTTAAACTTGTAGGCGCAAATCGACCTCCAAACACAGGTTCATGTGCACCTCACCAGACTTTTAGCTAGGATTTTGGAAGAAAGCGTCAACCCCACAAAGGTTTATAAAATGTAAGTAGGCACAAAAAAAGGCTGCGCATTGAGATTGTGACAACAGCTACTGAAGCTGTAACGTTGTTACCCACCTCCTCTTTCCAAGCCAACATAATTTATTCTTTGTGCATGCTCTGTGCATGCTCACTGCCGCATCATTTTGCTAAGACCTGGCCCACCTTTATTCTGATTGGCTAGTAGGCCTTTCTAGTAGGGTTGGGCAATATTGGCAAAAAATTAATCACGATTAATTGTGGTGTTTAGCCGATAACGATTAATTTGACGATTAATCCCCTGGAGTCCCTGGACACCCTCATGTCCTAGTCACATGACCAATTTAGTGGGAAAAATTTCATAAAAATCTGTTCCAAATTATGTCAAAATTACAGACTTCATGCTACACATCAATTTTAAAACTGTGTTGATAGATAAATAAATTGCAGAACTTTTTWAAATTTGAAGCAGAGAGGAGCAGCGAGCGGATTCTGCCTGGTGGCATTAATCGTTTTAATCGTCAAGTGTCAAAAAGTAATCGATTAATGTTTTTCTGACGATTAATTGCACACGATACGATTATGCCCAACCCTACTTTCTAGTGTGCATCATCGCCACACTAAAAGAATCAGAAAACCAAACAGGGTGTCCAAAAGATGCCCTGATGCACCTCTACCTAAAAGCCTGCACCTCATCTTTATAACCTATTGGGGTCTAAAATAGTCATTTTAAAGTGACAGTATAATAATTCGTCATTTCCTACCTGGCAACTCCTGCTTGGCTTGGAAACTACATTGGATTCAAAGAGCACTGCAGTATTAAGTGAAGTTTTTTTTGTTTGTTTTTCCATGTTGATTCACAACAATCAACTTTGAAAAAACACTAACACTGCCAGAGAAAATTCACATAAAGCATGTGTTTTGAAGCTTCCTATAATGAAAACATGTTGCAGTGATTAGGCTTTGATCATTGTCATATCGCGGTATAACAAAATACCTTCATACCGCTTAAGCCTAAGTAAAGCTGTGTTTTTTCACATATTTTTGCATTTACCAAAGAATATACAGTAAGCCTGTAAATAATAACTGAAAATTACAAAAACAAGACTGTCTTGAACAGACTTGGAAATATTTGTCTAAATTTCAGTGACAAACACGACGCTAATCGTGTCAGTTTTCTATTGCATTTTCAACATTAAGTTGTTGGTCACTAGCTTGTGAATATTAGGTTTTTTGGTGTGTTGTGCACACTTTATTCGGCATAACAGTGTAATGTGACATTAACCGTGCTTTAAAGGTTTATAAAATGTTTGCATTCGTCACATAAAAATGTGCCACTGGAGTTTGAAGACGATAGCATACATGTTAACCTCATCGGACGTTTACCTGTATAAAGAGCCTCAAAAATCCGTAAATTTTGCAAAAAAGTCTGTATAAAATCGCACCCGCCGGGGGTGGGGTCTGTCGGCTGCGGACATGAAAGCACCCGCTGCGAAGCAGGAGGAAAGGAGAGCGGAAAAAGTTCAAACCTTATTTCTAGCGGCAGAAAAGGGTGGAAGATGGCTATTTTGTTATTTATTGTTTTTTAAATCATCCTACAGGCTCTGACATGTTAGATAAATTTGAAAATGAGGTTTTGAAAAAATCCGTGAGATTGCTCTATACGTCCGTATACCTGCAAAATGACGTAAAATCCTTACAACTTCCGGACAATCCGTACAAGTTTACATGTATGCGAAAGCTATCTCCTTTGTTTTCAGTCCAGTTAGAATGAAGCTGTTTCAGTAAAGCTGAGTAGTGTGCTAGCTGCCTGTATGATGCTGCTGAGGATGAGTTCTACACACCAGGTGCAGGGAAGATTGTGGTTAAATGTTGAACTCGCAGCTGCACCGCAGGATTTGCTCTGTGGTGTCGATAGTTAACCTACCTGCTTGTCAATAAGCCACATGACAGTTCTGATTTTCTCTGAGGAGTTGCTGCAGAGCCTTGTTAAATGGTTGCATGGAGCTGTTTTTCTGCTAATTACTGTGTATTAGTGAAAACACTGTTAGATTTTTAACATTCTGTTATTAAAGGGATCCCTGATTAGTTGTAACATTAGACTTTATTTAATAAACATATATTTTAACTGTAAAATAAAGACTGTAAAAATTCTGTAGGCTGTATAGTTTTTATCATTTTTAAACTAAAAGTTTAAAAATATATTACACAAACAGGGCCATTTTATTTATACGCAAAACATTCTGGGTAAATGATGACGTGCATAGGTCCTCGGTGTGAGGCTGCTAGCGAGCTATATCCACCCTGAAGGTTAATCTTGAACAATATCTGATGATCGACTCTTTTAAATGAAACCAGAGAGCGTTGACAGAGAGGAGAAGGTAGAAATGACTCAGCCTGGAACTGAAAATATGGATGGGGGACAACAGTTTAGCTTGTTTGTCGCGCTAGCGCCAAGCTAATACATATAAAGCAATACAGCATTGGCGCTAGCGCAAAAGCTAACAGGCTAAGCTGAGGTTCTTCTACCATGAAGCAGCTCTGTTGTCCTCCATCCTCCATATTTTCAGTTGCAGACTGAATCATTTCTGTCTTCTCTTCTCTGTCAACTAGGGCTGCAGCTAATGATTATTTTAGTAATCGATTAATCTATTGATTATTCTGACGATGAATCGAGTAATCAGATATAAAAAAAATTTCATGTTCTGCAGTAATTATTTAAGCTTATTTTATGACAAATACAGTTATTTAAGAAGAGGTAAAATACACCTGCTGATGACCCTGCTGCAATCAAAGTAAAATTACAATACCAGTTGTATTAATTAATGCATTTTAAACTCCATTTGTTTGTATTTATGTATGTAAGGTTTGAGGAGGCATTAATTAATAGCACTCTGTCATTGAATCATTTTTAACCATCACTGAAAAATCTAAATGCTGTAAATAATGTTATGGATTAGAAAATTGAATTTTTTATTTATTTATTTTTTGGTTAGAAATTTGATAAGTAAAATGGGTAATATAAACATTTGGGTGTTGCAATAGAGTTTTGTAGAGTTCACTCGTTAATTGTAACAAAGCTATTTTAAGACTGTTATTAGGTTGATGCAGGGCTCCCATTTAGGCAATAAAAACTTAGTCTTGACTGCTTAGCTATAAACAATAATATATAGTAGTATAATGAAGGCTAAAATCATAAAAAGCAGCAGCAAATAATAAAAAAATCCAACTATCTTCAGTAAATATTTTTAAACTTGAAATTTTTACTCCAAGTATCATTTAAACTAAGATAAAAGCATATCAACAAATAAACATGTTTCAGCTTTTTTAATCACACAACTTACACACTGTTTAATAAAACCCTGCCAGGTCACCATGATTAGTCAGCACAAATAATGTTAGCCAAAATATACCTCCTCGTCGTACATCTGRAACATGACAGTTTATCACAGATTTAGGTAACCAAAGGGAACGTGAACGATACCGGTTAACTCCGGACGCGTTCGGTACATGCAGCCGCTGTTTTTGTTCCGGTAAAGAAACATCGAGGATGTGCAGAGCATTGCGTGTTGTCGTCTTTTCTGTTTAGTTTAAAATGTTCCCATGCTTTTTATAATTTGTCGTTTTCTGAGTGCTTCGTTTCGACACTCTTCGTCTTCTTCTAAAGCTAAATATAGTGCTCAGCAAGCATACACGCGTGACACGTCGACAGTCGTAGCATTGTGTGTAACACAAAATAACATTCCGGGCAGACGAAAGTGCACTCTTTATAACAGTATGTATTTTTTTTGCGAAACTTTGAGGCAGATAAATTTGCCTCGAGGATTTTTTGTAATCGATTTACTCYAAATTATTCGACAGTCCTACTGTCAACGCTCTCTGGTTTCATTTGAAAGAGTCGATCATCAGATATTGTCCAAGATTAACCTTCAGGGTGGATATAGCTCACTAGCAGCCTCGCACCAAGGACCTATCCACATCATCATTTACCCAGAATGCTTTGTGTGCAAATAAAATGGCTCCGTCCGTGTTAAAATATATATTTTTAAAATTTACAAAACTAAACATCCTACAGTATTTTTACAGTCTTTATTTTACAGTTAAAATATATGTTTATCAAATAAAGTCTAATGTTACAAGTTACTAATCAGGGATCCCTTTAAGGTTGCATTTAAAACAGTTCAGCTGATGAAAAGTTGACTGAAACTGACAGCTGATGTGGACTTTTTCTGGGTTGTTTACTGTCAGTTTTCCTAATTTATTGTTGAAAAAAACTAAAGTTGAAAGAAAACAAGTACCAAACCACAAGAATAATCAAGAAAAGGAATTGTAGTTCTGTATTCTTAATTACTTTTTGTTCTCAGATAGTCGTCCTCTCTTGGTTTCTCTGACTGTTTTCTGTCGTCCTCCAGATGATGATGGCCAATACAGGCCCCTATGGTGGTCTGTACAGCCAATCTGCTGGCCAGGGAGTGCCTGGAGAAGGGCTGGGCCCTCAGCTCCAGAATAAGCCAGGCCCAAATGTGCCCACCCAGTTCAGCATGGACAAGAAGGGACCTCCAGCTCAAAGCATGCCGGTGATGGTAGGATTCTTTAGTCATCTTTTGTTTTTTTCACTCATTTTATATAAACTTGACACAAAAAGAAAGGAGTTTTGTGTTTGGTAGATTATTTATTTGTCGTAACAATGTTTCTTGGTAATAAATCTTATACTGTTGGAAAGTCTGTTCATTTCCCCTTTTAAAGGGTGCCACATTTGTAAGGAACATGCATTTGTGGGATCAGCAGTAGAACTGAGTATGTGGGTTGCACACATGAAAAAAATTGCCAAATCTTCTCTGCCAAACTATTTATTTTGCTGTTTTATTTATCTGCTCTGAGCTTCTAGTACCCCCACCCCCACCCCCCGTACTTCTAGTCAGGTGTGGCATAAAACATATTGTCAAGAAGACTCGTTACAACAGAAATCTATTAAACACAAATGTCCTTACTTGTTGTGCTAATTATATGTTGTCATCCCCAAAATTTTATTTTATCTGCCAAAATATACAGTATATAATCTTTTTTTTCCTCACTGACATTAAGTCAGTTGAAATTTTCTTATTTTAGGTTTATTTCTGTTTTGTTAAATGTCCAGATAATGACCATGATCCTATTTAAAAAAATTGTTTTTATTACTTGGTGATTTTGAAAAAAGAAATTTTTTCGATACAAAAGAGAGAAATTTCCATGCCCCTTTAAACTTGTAATTTATTTATATTAGTTATGAACATTTGTTTAAACTCAAAAGTACAGTTTTTTTTAATTAAATGTTGCTGAAACAGCAAGTTTCTCCGTGGACCTACGCTCAAAAATGCAGCCTAGGTGGAGTAGTCGAACACTGATCCTTTAACACAGAGCATCTTCAGAAGACATGTTGAAAAAGTAAAATTTTAAAATCTGTATTGTTCGGTGCGATGTGTATATATAAACGGTTCGATACGGGTACATGTATTGTTGCACCCCAATGTATGTTATGTTTGTTATGTATGTTATGTTTGTAGGATTCCTAATTGACCCAAAACAGGAAGCATTTAGTCTAATTTGTTGTCAGACAATAAAGAAAATACAATATATTTAAACATCTGGTTTCAACTGTAGATTGTATTAACCTCAAAATAAGATGACTGCCACAGCGACCCGACTTTGGCAAACATAAAAACAACAGTGGCTTTGACAAATGTACAGTTATTTAGCTAAAATCTAGAATGGCAGTAGCTGAGGGTTAGTCATAACACATCCTAACAAGTATGCTCGAGTGGGACGGCCTTCTTTGTCCACCAGGAGGTTGCAACATTGGTACACTTTCCTTTATAAGGCCATTATTCCTCCTAAATTTGTGAATTAATCACACGGAGAAGCGATGGTTCTTACTCTTTGCATTCAAATGACCTTTTCTTGCTCTCTGTTCTATTTGTCCACACAGAATTGGGGAAAAGAGGCTTTTGTTTGTTCTGCACTGTTGCAAAATTTGTATGGAATTTTAATTGTGTAACTAATTGTAATTTGGTAACTTTTGCTGCCTCTTGGCCAGGACTCCCTTGAAAAAGAGTTTTTTTTTAATCTCACCTGGAGCTTCCTGGTTAAATCTAAATAAAATAAACAGTCTTCAAGGCCTTTAAATCCCTAATGTATATACAGTAGTTTGCAAAAGTATTCATACCCCTTGAACTTTTCCATATTTTGTCACATTACAACCACAAACATAAATATATTTCACTGGAA